TGAAGAGCAAAAGAGCACATGGCAAGACTGTGAAGATTCCAGCAATGACCGTATCTCTGAAGGCTCCATTTCAGAATGAAGGATTCCTCTAAACCTGCAGGACCAGCACACTGCAGAGGAAGACTGGAAACGGCCAATAAAGACCTGAAAATGTTCGGCCTAGTTGTCCATCCGGAAAACACCAGTTAGAGCCATGGGCACTTCATGCACAAAGGTGCTACCTGAGAAGAGTGAGAGTCGGTAGGCATGGGGCGGCTAGCATGACGTTCCCTATTCTGATAGGAACGAAGGTGAGCTGCCTCAGGCTCTTGGGGAAAGTTTGGTGCTAATTTTGAGGATGTTATTCCTAAATATTGTACTCCAGGGTGTGTTCTCTTGACATGATTTGTGCTCCAAAATGTTCGTAGCACCATTGTCCAAAAGCCAAAAAAGTAGCAACAATCTAAATGTCAAACACAAGAACCAAGAAATTAAACTATTTCATGACAGTATGAACCACATTGGTATGCAAACATGGGTGAGTTCCATAAATAAGCTGCTCGTAACAGCATACATTCCGTCTGGAATAAAACTTAATTTTAAATATTTCAGTGAGGGGCTGGGAAGATGGCTCAGTGGTAGAGCACTTGCTTTGCATGCATGAGGCCCTGGGTTCGATTCCTCAGCACCACATAAGCAAAAAGAAAAAAAGCTGGAAGTGGCGCTGTAGCTCTAGTGGTAGAGAGCTAGCCCTGAGCTGAAGAGCTGAGGGACAGCGCCCAGGCCCAGAGTTCAGGCCCCATGACCGCACCCCCCCCCAAAAAAAAAAGAATGAAAGGTAATTTAAGAAACCAGTAAAAACTACTGAAGCCTGACTAACCCATGATTGTGTATCAAGTGCATGCATGCATACACACACATAGAAGAAACTGCAACTAAGCCTCCAGATGCCATCAGCAGTAGTGAACGCAGAGCCTCTTTCAGCTTAGGTATCCCAGCTTTCCAGGAAGTAATCACTAAGCAATTATATAGCGTCTACACCACACACCAGCCCCAGAACTAAGGATCAAGAATCTAACAAAAACATTTAAAACTTGCCGGGCACTGGTGGCTCCTGCCTATAATCCTAGCTAACTCAGGAAGCTAACAATTAAGGTTTGAAGCAGGCCAAGGCAGAAAAAGTTCATGAGGGGCTGGGAAGGTGGCCCAGTGGTAAGAATGCTTGCCTTGCATGCATGAGGCCCTGGGTTCGATTCCTCAGCACTACATAAGCAGAAAAAGCCAGAAGTGGAACTGTGTCTCAAGTGGTAGAGCGCTAACCTTGAGCTGAAGAGCTCAGGGATGGCGCCCAGACCCAGAGTTCAAGCCCCACGACCGACAGAAAAAAAAAAAAAAGAAAAAGTTCATGAGACTCTTATCTCCAATTAAACATCAAAAAAGCTCAAGTGGTAAGAGTACAGAGGAGCAAGAAAGAGGCCCTGAGTTCAAACCCCAGTACTACCTAAGCCAGGTGCCAGCATTTCATGCCTGAACTGGAGGACTGTGGTTCAAAGCCAGCCCAAGCACAACAGTCCTCAAGATTTCATAAGATTTCATATCCCAGTCAACGAGAAAAATGCCAGACTGCAGACATGGATCAAGTGGTAGAGCATCAGCTGTAAGCAAGAAAGTAGAGACTATGAGGCCTTGCATTCTAAACTTATTTCTAGCACACATGCATACACACACACCCCTGACACAAAGCAATAAATGCATTTAAATCTTATCATTCAGTAATTATTTTCAACTTTAACAGTGTATTTATCAAGGCAAAACTGACATAAATGTATTTAAATGTGTAATTTGTTACATTTCAACCTATGAACACACTATGAAATGATCACAATCGAAAACTGATTAAGGAACATACTCATTGTCCTTGAGGTTTTTCAGGCACCCTGGGACACACTTTTATCCTGTTACCCATCCCTGGGCTTTCTGCCACAAAGATTTGCTGACATTTTCTATAACTCTGCAAATGGAATTATAGAGAGTATGTTTTTGTTTTTGTTTTTGTTTTTGAAAATTTACTTTTATTTCAGAGAAAGAAAAGCAACTTTTGTTGTTGTTGTTGTTGTTGTTCATGGGTCTTGAACTCTGGGCCTGGCTGCTGTCCCTCAGCTCTTCAGCTCAAGGCAAGCACTCTACCGCTTGAGCCACAGCGCCACTCCTGGTTTTCTAGTGGTTTATTGGAGATAAGAGTCCACAGACTTTCCTGCCCCTGCTGGCTTTGAACCGTGATCCTCAGATCTCGGCCTCCTGAGTAGCTAGGATTACAGGCGTGAGCCACCAGCGCTCCACTTTTGAAAGTATGTTTTTGTCTGGTATCTTTCACTGGGCATAATGATCTTGAAACTCATCCATTTCGTATCGCACATCAAGTTCATTATCAAGCATACTTCTTAGTACTGACAAACAAATTTGTTTATCCAGTCACCTGTTGATAGACATTTGAGTTGTTTCCAGTTTGGAGCTCTTACCTACAAATGTTTGCACACAAGTTTGTACATAGATGCACATAGTTGCTGCCATTTTTTCCAAGTGAAACCAACACTACTCAAAACTGTCAAAGAATCGAAACTAGGAAACATCAAAGATGCTGACACAGTTTAGAAGTGCCCATGTACACAGGACACAGGATAGATGTCCTGGCTCTCATCCTGTGCAGAAAAAGGAGATTAGGTAAAAACTAAGGAAACTCAAAAAAACAGATGCATGGACTACAGTAATGAATATGCGTTTATTAGGACTGAAGAAGCCACGGGTAGCAATTAATGTAAGATGTAAGCAATAAGAGAACTTGGTGCAAGATATACAGAATTTCTCCTTACCAGGTTTGTCACTTTCTGCTTTTATTTTCTGACACAGGATATCTCTATGCAACCAAAGATGTCCTCAATTTTACAATCCTTCTGTCTCAGCCTCCCAAATGCTGGAATTATTAGTGTGCATTAGGACACCTGAATTATCTTTGTAACTTTTCTAATATTGAAAAATACACCAATAAAAAGTTTATCTCCAAAAACTCATATAGTCAGGCACCAATGGCTCACATCTAATTAATCCTAGCTACTCAGGAAGCTGAGATCTGAGGGTCACAGTTCAAAGGCCAGCCTGGACAGGGAAAGTCCATGAGACTTATCTCCAATTAATGACCAAAACAGCCTGAAGTGAAGCTGTGGTTCAAGTGATAGAAAGCTAGCCTTGAGCGTAAAAGCTCAGGGACAACAACCAGGCTCTGAGATCAAACCCCAGGACCCTCACATACCCACACAAAAATCCACATACAGGACTGCATGCTGGTGGCTCCTGAAATCCTAGCCAATTAAGAGGCCAAGATCTGAGGATCATGGTATGAAGCCATCTGTGCAGAAAAGTCCATGAGACTCCATCTTCACATAAGCAAAGCTGGATGGACGCAGTAGTATGTGCCTGTAGGTCCAGCAAGGACTGGACTGCAACATAGGCATACATCTGAGTAAGAAGTGAGATCCTATCTTAACCAGTGAAAAACAGGGCTGGAGGTGTGGCTCAGCGGTACTGCACCAGCCTAACAAACATGAGGCCCCGCCTTCAGCCCCTGCTGTCACTAAATGCACATATATCACAGGCACATGCACACGGACGCACACATGTATGTTTTTTCAAACAAGGTTAGCAAGAAGAGGCTTTCTGGTCCTACAAGAAACATTTTCCAAAACCCATACAGAGTAACAAAACTAGAGAAGCTACTCACATCCTCCAACTTCAGAATACTTAGAAGACAGCACATCAAAGTTAATTTGCATGTAACAGAGACTCAAACGATTGAAACCCACACCAGAGGACTGTCAGACAACAGCAAGCAGAAAATGGCAGCTAAAATATCACCCACTGTAGCATTAAACCACTTTTTGGAGGTACTGGGATGAGAACTTAGAACCTCATGCTTACTCAGTAGGCACTCTACTATTTGAACTACACCTCTAGCCCACCACTGGTATTTCAAAACATCCATCAAGCTGGGCACTGGTGGCTCATGCCTGTTATCCTAGCTACTCAGGAGGCTGAGATCTGAGGATCATGGTTCAAAAGTCACCCAAGGCAAGAAAATCCATGAGACTCAACTCCAATTAAAACCAGAAAACCAGAAGTGATACTGTGGCTCAAAGAAGTAGAGTGCTAGACTTGAGTGAAAAATCTCAGGGACAATGTCTAGGCTCTGAGTTCAAGCCCTGTGATTGACCATAAAAAAGAAAAATCCATCAAAAACTAGAGACAAATTGCTGGGCACTGGTCATACCTATCTATAATTCTAGCTACCAGGAGGCTGAGAGCTGAGGATAGAGGTTCAGAACCAGCCCAGATAGATAAAACCAAGAGACTCTTACTTCAGTTAGCTAGCAAAAAGCTGGAAGTGAAGGTGTAGCTCAAGTGTGCAGTAGGCAAAAAAGCAGAGCAAGAGCTCAAGACAAGGCTTAAAGCAGAGCAAGAGTTCAAGCCCTGTATTGGCATCAAAAAACAAATGTAGCTGGACACTGGTGGCTCACGCGTGTAATCCTAGCTACTCAGGTGGCTGAGATCTGAGGATCGTGGTTCAAAGCCAGCCCGGGCAGGAGAGACTATGAGACTCCTATCTCCAATAAACCACCAGAAAACCGGAAGTGGCGCTGTAGCTCAAGTGGTAGAGCATTCGCCTTGAGCTGAAGAGCTGAGGGACAGCGCCCAGGCCCAGAGTTCAAGCTCCACGACCGACAAAAAAAAAAAAGTAAAAACCTTGAAATAAACTTAGCAAAGAATGTGCAAGATATCAATGAAACATGGAGGAAAATTAATGATGACTTGATAAGTGAAGACCAGTCAGTGTATCAACGACCCACAAATGAATCCTGGTGAAGGGCTGTGCATGAGCGGTCTGACCAGCTAAATCTGCAGAGACCCAAACTGCAGAAAGCGATTCTGTACACAGGTCTCATGCATCCAAAATTTCAAGTCTAAGTCACCTGGCAAATGATCATGAATTCTTCGGTTTACGGGTGTCGTGCAGACTTGACTGAAATCCAGCGTATTGTCCAGTATGGCATTTATCCTTCGGAAGATACTGGCATTGCTGCACGTAGAGAGCGCAGGCGGCTCCTGGTTGTCCCAACAATCATTTATACTTCCTGCTTCTTCTTCCTAAACACAGAGAAAAGATAAAGTAACAAGGATTTCAGTTTCTTTCTTATTGATTAAAACACTAAATCGGTCGCTTATTATATGGACAAAGTACTCAGAGCTCTAAGAACCCTTCATCTGAGAGGACAGGCAGGAATCCCACAGCACTGCAGCAGCAGCAGTGAGGGCTTCAGGACCTGGCACTCAGTCAAGGCAACACGTGCAGGAAGTCGACTGCAGGTGTCTATGGGAGCGATGCAGGTCTCTGGCAGTACTGGGCCCTTTCATGGCTTGCTTTCCTGACAGGGCTCCTCTCAGGCAAGGAATGCCTGAAGCTCATTTCAACCTCTAGCTCCTTGGAAAAGGCTGGCTGTAAGGACAATCAGAATAGATAGGTGCTAGTGACTCACACCTGTAATCCTCACTACTCAGGATGCGGAGCTCTGAGGATCGTGGTTCAAAGCCAGCTTTAGCAGGAAAGTCTGTGAGACTTGCTTATATCTCTAATGACCAAAAAGCTGAAAGCAGAGCTGTAGTACATGTGGTAGAGCACTAGCTTTGAGCACAAAAGCTCAGGTTAGCACCAGGCCCTGAGTTCAAGCTCCAGGACTAGCACACATATGCATACACGCACGTGCATGCGCGCGCACACACACACACATAATACACAATCCTACAAGGTGATTCCCAACACTCTGAAGCGCCACTCACGCAGCCCCTTTCCAAGTGCACATTTCTGAGATGACTGTCAGTGTGAGGTGAATTCATAAAGTCAGACACGCAGCAAGCATTGCACTCTGCGTGCTTCCTTCCTTCCCTGCCTAGCAACACCAACCACTGCCTGTGATCTGCAATTAACGCTCAAGGCTCAGCCACAAGCAAAAGAAAATGCTCAAGTCTGGGCAGGGACCCAACAGCTGATTGTGTTGTGAACAGCCACCACACCACTGGGATGTGAGGTAAGCACTCCATCTTCTAACCAAGGTGACTGGGGAGAGTGCCGATGTGTGGGAAGAGCAGAGGAAGGTCTGGTGAACACAGAGGGCAGAGGCATCACCAACGTGCCCAGGGTGGTAGAGCGTTAGGCACAGGAGAGAGCTTGGTGTTCCAGAGTGAGTATCAGTATTACCTTCTAGATCAAAAGTTACCAAACTGTTAAATAAAAGTTCCTTTTAATACACAAAAAATTGTCTAATTTTGTTCCATGTAATAGAAGTATGGATACATATATACTACATAAAAATATTATGTAATCTTATCTTTTATATTATATATTACATTGACACACGATAATATAGAGATAAATACAGGTTTCCATCTCCAGGTCACGTCTAAAGGCAAGTTAATGGCCACTTATCCAAGTACACAGAGTCTCTGCCAGAACCACACAGAAGACAATGATGGTAACAAGGACAATGAGAAGTGCCGCATTCATCTGGGGACCCAGACAGTCCAATGGGAGGAACTGATTTCTCAGGAGGCCAGGAACTCTATTTCATGTAACCTGAAAAAGTCTAAGCTGGGCGCCAGTGGTTTACACCTTGTAATCCTACTCAGAAGGCTGAGATCTGAGGATCAAGATTTAAGCCAACCTGGGTTCAAAAGTCACTCTTATCTCCAATTAACCAGCAAAAAATAAAAAACCAACAAAAACAAAAACAAAAAAACAGACCCATTAGTAGTGTGGCTCAAGTGCCAGCCTTGAACAAAAAGCCAAGCAAAACCATGAGACTCCCAGTTCAAGTCCAGGTACCAGCACCAAAACCCAACCAAACCCTCCTGACTCAGATCATCCTGCTCTGTCACCATCTTCCAGAACAGGTTTAGGAGAACATCAGAAATACTCAGTGTCAAGGCTACTCGAGAGCATGGGCAGAGCCCTCACTGGACTGCAGTCCCGAGGAGTCTCAGCAGCCCACTGTCCGCTGCGTGTGCCCCTGGATCCCCAGTGGAGGAGTGCCCGGGCATCCCTGGCTCATTTCTACTGCACCCAGCAGGACATCCCCAAGCACAAGGTCTAGCGTACAAACACTTATGGCACCTACGGCCCCGCCCAGTGGCTTCACCCTCCACCAGAACCTCTGGAAATAAACAGCAGCAACTCCCATAAGCTTTAGAAAGATCAGAACAGTCAGGTGCCTGTGGCTACACCTGTAATCCTGTTAACCTAGTTACTCAGGAGGCTGAGTTCTGAGGATCACAGTTCAAAGTCAGCCTGGCAGGAAAATCCGTGAGACTCTTATCTCCAATTGGCCACCAGAAAACTGGAAGTGGAACTGTGGCTCAAAGTGGTAGAGCTCTAGCCTTGAGTGAAAATGCCTTGAGTGAGGGACACTGTGCCAGGCCCTGAATTCAAGCCCCATGACTAGCAAAAAAAAAAAATCAGGATAAATATTCAAACGCAAATTGTGTTCTGTCAAAGTTCTCAGCACTCAAAATCACTTCAAGGTATAAGTCTAGAGAACGTCTCACGAACAGAAACTAAGGCTGCGGAGTTGTGTCAGAGCTGATCCCAGACTTGGCCTCTATCTCCTTTCCAAGTTTGCTGTTTTCTGTACTAGGGTTTGAACCCAGGACCTTGCTTGCACCCGCCTAACAGGTATGCTACCACTGAGCCACAGCCCCATCCCAAAATCATGACATCCACTGGAGGTACTGGGATTTGAACACCAGGCCTTGTGCTTGCCAGGCAGGCACTCTACCACTTGAGCCTTGCCTCCAGCTGTCCCTATGGTGTTTTTGAAGTTCCTGGTGCACAAAGGCAGTTGTACGCCCAGCATTCTACTGCATGGACGATCTCATTCTGGCTTTTCAATTTCCCCTCACAGCTTTCCTCCACAGAGTGGAAGACACACGGGGAGCAGAGGCTCTTGGTCCTCTGACCCCACACCTGCCCTACCTAATCTAACAGCTTCATCCAGTACTGGTCCTCACCACCCAGCCCAGGCCCATGCTTCTTCCTATGTGAAGAACAGTTCTCAAGTCCATCTCTGCTCAACCGTCTGAACCTTCTTATCAGTGACCTCTGCCACGCCTTTCGCCTGTCTGTACCCAGATCAGCTCTCATGAAGGCTCCTTAGCCCACGTTTGCCCATCCAGCCACCACCTCTTCCTCACCCTTACTCATCGATTTCTCCCTCCAGCTTGACACAGTGCCTAGTGTGGCTCAGATTGCTTGCTTATTCAGCTAGCACTCTACCACTGGGGTTACACCTCCAACTCAGCTTTTTACTGGTTATTTTGGGGATGAAGTCTCAGGCTTTTCTGTCCAGGCTGGCTTTGAACCACGATCCTCTAGATTTCAGTCTAAGTAGCCAGGATTTAGACATGTGTAACTGGCACACTGCTTCAAGTGTTAACTTCGTGTGTGTGTATGGGCCGGGGGGTAGGAGCACTGGTCCTGGGGCCTGAACTTGGGGCCTGAGCACTGTCCCTGAGTGTCTGTGCTCAAGGCTAGCATATTACCACTTGGGCCACAGTGCAGGCTTTTTTGATAGTGAATTGGAGATAAGTATCTCATGGACCTTCCTACCCAGATCTCAGCCTCCTGAATAGCTAGGGTGACACTGTGCAGCTGCTATGTTACCCTCTTAAAGGTTCACAGCGTCAGGGAATCTGGAAGCACATATAGTGAGTACTCACTACATGCTGTTACCCTGCAGCTTGCCAGTCTGCCTTGTGTTTGAGATGCATCTTTATCTCTCTCTGGATTTTTCCATGTGCTAGCCCTATGACAGTTCCACTTTGCTGAGTCGTGCAAATGCATTGCTGACACACTATTCAACACACAACTTTGATTAGGAGTCGTTAAGGAAGAGGAGCTTATTTGTTCACTTTCAAGAAAATGTCTGCCAAATACTCAATGTTCAATGACCGCAATTTGCTGGTCCTTCTTTCAAATAAGAAGAGGTGTTCTGTGCGGGGGGGGGGGGGGGGGGGGGGGGAAGCTGGTTTTCTTGACATGCAAGCACAGAAATACTTTCTTTTGGCTGTCTCTGCACTTGGGAATGAAGGAAAGCATTCTCTATTCACGTTCCATTTGCCACAGAGAATACGACAACATACAGTTGAGGTTCAAGGTTGAATATGTTTACCTCTCACTGTCTCTTCAAGGGTGTCTTACGTGACACGGGCTCTCTGGGGGAATGGGCAGCATGAAAACTACAAAGCCAGAAGCTGGGCTCTGGTGCTCAGACCTGCAATCTCAGCAACCAAGGAGACTATGATCTGAAGGCATGGTTCAAAGCTAGCCCAGATAAACCTCAGTCTTACCTCCAATTCGCCAGCAAAAAGCCAGTGGTGATGTGGCTGAAGTGACAGGGCATCTGCCAGCTTTGAGCAAAAAGGCTTCATGAAGCCCTGAATTCAAGTCCTCCTATCAGCAGGGTGTGTGCATGTACCAAACAATGGACTAATGCAATGCCACTGCAGTGGTTGGGCCAACCCCACCACCTTTGCAGTAGTGAACAAATGTTGCCACAGCTAACGAAGAAACTGGTGTCTTAGAATTATGAGAATAGCTTTTTATTGGTACTAGAATATGGACTCAGGGTCTGTGTTTGCTAGGCAGGCACTTTCCACCCTGAGCCATGCCTCCGGGGCCCCTCTTGTACTACTTTTCAGATGGGGTTTCACTTCCTGCCTAGCTGTGTGCCTAGGCTCGGATCTGCCTAATAACACTTCCCATGATGCTGGCCCACAAGGAGTCAGCTGAACTTTTTTTTGTCAGTTGTGGGGCCTGAACTCTGGGTCTGGACGCTGTCTCTCAGCTCTTCAGCTCAAAGCTAGCACTCTACCACTTGAGCCACAGAGCCATTTCTGGCCTTTTCTGTTTATGTGGTACTGAGGAATCGAACCCAGGACCTCATGCATGCAAGGCAAGTGCTCTACCACTGAGCCACCTTCCCAGCCCCCTCCTAAGCTTTTTTTGCCTGGGCTAGTCTCAAACTACAATCCTCCATCTCAGTCTCCAAGGGAGCTGGGATTATTTTTTTTCTTTAGCAAAAGCCAAGGTGCCTGGC